GGCGGCGAATGAAGTGCGCGGCACTGGGAGGCCGAGTCCAGCGCGGGGCTCTCAGCTCTGTGGATCTGCCCGGCAACTGATGAGTCATCAGAGAGACGCGCTCTGATTGGCTGAGGGGCGGAAGATCCACGGAGGGGCGAGATGGACAGGCGGGGTCACTGAGAGTGACTGGGATGGACTGGGAGAGGCTGGGATGGACTGGGAGAGCCACAGGAGCCACTGGGAGGAACAAGGGGCCCCGGGGATGGGCACAAGGAAGGCTGAGGGATCTGGGCTGATTCCCAGGGAGGTTTGGAGGGACACGGCCGGGCCCCTCTCTGTGCCCCGCGAGCAGCGGCCTGGACAGAAAAGTTCAGGAGCGGGAGGAGGAGTTTCTCAAGACTGATTTTAATCCTCATTCTCCTGGTCTGATTTGCTCAGTCCTAAGTTCAGTTCATTTCCCCATGGCTGGGTGTTGCACCCCTGATGGTGATCCCTGAGTGACCTCTCCCTGCCCTTGTCCCGACCCACGAGGACTTGGATTTGTTTCAGTTCAGTGGAATTCCTGGTGATTTGGGGGGAGCTGGAGCAAAGCAGCTGGAAAGCACAGTGGGCTTGACAGGGACTGAACCAGGGCAGGAGTTGGGGCTGCCTCGAGTGAGCTCTCACAGTGTGAACCTTCATGGGGTCTTTCTAAGGGAATTTTGTTGAAGTTTGACATTCATTATTAAAAAGCAGAGTCACAAGTGGAGCTCTGCTTTCAGCTTGAAATGAGGGGATGGAACGTGGGCACTGGGACTTCCGTAACCTCAAGTTGTTCCTTGATACTGGACACTTTAGCTTTGGCAATCTGAAGCCCTTCAGCAGCAATGTCTCTGCCACCCCCTGGTTTCTGGCTCAGACCCAGCTCGCAGCTTGGACAAGGTCTGGGCTTTGTCCTCTTGAGCTTCGGGAGCCTCCCGGGAAGCACCAGCCCTCCCCAGCCCACCCTTGGTAGGACTTTTTCTTTTCTCTCTCCTGACGATTTTATCCCCAAAACTGCCGTGGGAACGTTGTATCCAAGCACATCCTCCAGCGCTGCACTTTCCTCCTGTGAATTCCCTGTGCAGGGAATGTGTCTGTGCTTTTCCCTGCTCTGTTCACTGACAAACAAACCTGAGCCCGTGGGACTGTCAGAGTTCCTTCATGCAATGAAATCAGGTGGTGTTGATCATGGCATGTTCTGGAGGAGCTTTTCTTGGTGTGTCTTGTGCTGCTGGAAATGACACAAGAGCCAGGAGGGAACAGAAGCTGCTGCTGCCCGTTGGCTCAGGGCCAGGGAACCAAGTTGTGCTCCCGTGCAGTTGGGCCCTGCTGGAAGCAGAGCCGCGTTTCCCTTGAGCAGCTCAAGCTTGTGACAGCTCCAAACAGGAAACCTCAGCAGAAAACTCTTCCTCCAAACTCAGCTGCTTTCCCTCCTGCAGCTGTTTGGGAAAGAGCCTCAAAGCACAGACTCTGCTGGGAGCCATTGGTGCATTTCCTCCCTCCCAGCAGCAGCAGCTCCTGAGCCCTTCACGGGCTCCTGTCCCTTCGCAAACCCTTCAGCTCCCTTTGAACTCTCAGCAGTCAGTAACGTGTGCATTTCTTTCATATTTAAACTGCATTTAAACTTCTCTTTTTCTCTCCTCTCTATCTGTTTTATCTCCTCTTTATCTCCTTTAATCCCGTCAGCACCAGTAGGATGGGGATGGAGTCTTGGGGTGGGTGTGGGATGAACTGAGGATCCAGCAGAGAAGGGCAAGGCAGAGGGGAGAGGACTCAGCCAACCCTTCTCCTGCTCTCTCCTCCCCCAGGCTCCAGCTAAAGCAAGTCAGACTGGAAAGGATCCCACAAATGCTGTGTTCTCCTCCCTCTGAGCTTGGCTGGGGATCCTCAGCTTCAGCCTGGTGCAGTGCCTTAGATTCAGTAATTTGAGTTTTTTGGCTAATGCACTAAATAATGTGGTGGGTTTAGCGCTGGCTGAAATCTCCAGGGCACTTACTCATTTCTTGCTGTGATAGAAATTATTAGAAGGGAAAAACAGGAATAAAGAAACTTTATTAACAGGACTACAAGAAAAAGAAACCAGAATTAAACTTTCAGAACACCTTTCCTCCCCCTGATTACCTTTTTTTTTGTTTTAACTGATTACGTAGAGTTAGAACTTGGGATGCTACAACAGTATTAATTTTACAGTAGTTTTTATTAGATTTTGTTATGTCATGGAGACTTTTTTATAAGGAACAGATTTTTTGTGGTTTTTTATTTTTACAAATCGCAGCTGCCTGGGAAGAAATTTTGCTATTGTGACATTTTTCTCACTTTTACAGCCCTCCTAGAGGTGTGCTATGGGTTATGAATTCATGGGGTGTTATTTTAAGGATGAGTTGTTTGAAGGCACATGTTTTCTTCATCTGTTTTTGTGATCATCTTTGGAAACAGAAGTTTTCTTCTTCTCTCCCTGGGTGCAAAGGGCATTTTATTATTTTTTTTATATTATATATTATATATATATATATATATATTTATTTATATTATTTTTATATTCTGTTCAAACTTTTTATGGGATTACAGTTACTTTAACATTTGTTTGGTTTCATTTATGGATGCTTTCATTTAGATTTACAGTTTGAATATTTTTTTATTCTTTTTTCATTAATTAAAGGAGATACTTTTATATATCATTGTTTATTTCTATGGCTTTACTAAAAGAATATTTTCATTTCAATTGCCATTTTTTAATTTCTTTTCTATTTAAGGTTTAACTTTTTTTTTACTGACTTTGATGTTTTTATGTTGTTTTTTTGTGTGTTGTTACTCTGTCCTTTTCTGTCCCTGGAGAGATGAACAAGGTTTGTAGGTCTCATCTCTTTATTGAAAGGGTTAATATCTTGCCCAGCCTCATAGTCTTCCTAGTGTTCCAAATAAATAGGTGCTCTGAGGGATACATATCACAGGTGAGCACCCACTGCACAGTCTGCTTTTGATTAAATCCCATCTCCGTCTTCATCAGCTCACAGTCACTGTGACACTATTCCTGCATGGAAGAAACAGGCTGGGATGCCCCTTTCTGCTTTTGGTCCTTTTTTTGGTGCCGGAGGGACTGATAAGAACCTGAGCGGGCCGAGCTACACCACATGAAAAGGACTTTTCTTCCTAGATTTACCATTTCATCAAACAGTGAGAGGTTTTATTGTTTAATATTATTCAATTTCTTTTAGATAAACAGTTTTTTCCACTTTTCTCAAAAGAAATTTTTTTTTCTGTGTTGAAGTCCAATCTTAAGGCAGGAATCAGACAGCACACCAATATGATGTGGAACTGAGACCTTTATTTCTTGCTCTTGCATTACTTATATAGTTTTAGCCAAGCATCTAAAAATAGAATACAAACTTATAGCTCTGATTTATAATACTGTTTGCGTTCTTCTCTAAACACGTTACTATCCTTATCTTAAAGCAAATTACCAGATGTTTGCAGACCTTTGTTTGATCCTTGTTCTTGTTCAACAAGCAGGAGAATTTATCACTTTGTTTTCTTTGGCAGTTCACTGTTAGGGTCAGCATGCTCTGTAAAGAGGCTGCAAGCCAAGCACACCTGCAAAAGCCCCAACATTTCTGGAGGGGAGGGGTCGTTTGAATTTTGCTTTCCTGGGGGAACCCCATTTAAGTTTTTCTCCCAGATTTGCCCTAAACTAGGAAACATGGTCATCACATGGTCACAGTCCTCTCATGGTCACAGTCATGGTCATCTCATGGTCATCTCTTGGTCTCAATATGTCATGTTCGTGGTTATCTCACCGTTGTAGTTGTGTCATCATCACAATCATGGTCACTTCCTGATCACCATCTCATGCTCATGGTCAACTCGCCGTCATAGTCATCTCATGGTTGCCTCATGGTCATGGTGATCTTGTGGTCATGGTCATCTCCTTATCACCATCATCTCATTATCATAGTCACCCCATGGTCACAATCATTTCATAGCCACGGTCATATTGTTGTCACCTCATGGTCATCTCTTAATCCAAATCATCTCATGCTCATGGTTGTGTCATGGTCATTGCATCGTCATGGCCATCTCATTGTCTCAATCACCTCATACCACAGGTGTGTCATGGTCATCTCATGGCCACAATCATATCATGGTCATCTTACAGTCGTGGTTGTGTCACAGTCATGGTTATTCCATGGTTTTGGTCATCTCATTGTAATGACCATCTCATGGTCTTGATCACCACATGGCCATGGTGTGCTGTGGTCATCACTTGGTCACAATCACCACATGCTCATGGTCATGTCATGGTCATGTCCTGGTCATGGTCATCTCATTGTTACTTCATGGTCAACTCATGGCCACAATCATATCATGGTCACCTCACAGCTGTGCTTGTGTCATGGGCATGGTTATCTCTTGGTCAACTCATAGTCAGAATCATGTCATGATCTCGATCATTTCATGGTTGTGGTTGTATTATGGTCACAGTCACGGTCATCTCATGGCCTTGATCACCACATGGCCATGGTTGTGTTGTGGTCATGTCTCAGTCACAGTCATCACATGCTCATGGTCACCCCATGGTCATGGTCGTGTCATGGTCACATTCACAGTCATCTCACTGTAATGGTCATCTTATGATCATGGGTGTGTCATGGTCATGATAATCTTATGATCATCTCATGATCATCTCATGGTCACAGTCATCTCACTGTAATGGTCATGTCCCAGTCACCTCATGATCATGGTCACACATGGCCATGGTGTGTTGTGATCATCTCATGGTCATCTCTTGGTCACAATCATCTCATGCTCATGGTCATCTCATTGTAATGGTCATCCCATGATCATGATCATTCCATGGCCATGGTTGTGTCATGGTCACGGTCATGGTCATTGCACAGTTACGGTCGTTTTATGATCATCTCATGATCAACTCATTTGCCACAATCATATCATGGTCATCTCTCACTGGTGGTTGGGTCATGGTCACGGTTATCTCATGATCTCATGTCCATCGCATGGTCATTTCCTGATAGTCATCATCTCATCCTCTCAGTCATCTCATTGTCATGGTCATCTCATGATCACAGTCACATCATGGTCACCTCATGGCCATCTCATGTTCACAATGATCTCATGAGCATGGTCATCTCATGGTCATCTCTTGGTCACAGTCATCACATGCTCAAAGTAATCTCACATTCATGGTCATCTCATCATGGTGGTACATGACCATGGCTGTGTCATGGTCACAGTCAGGGTCATTGCATGCTCATGGCCATCTCATGCTCACAATCATGTCATGGTCATCTCACGGTCAACTCATGGCCAATCATAACATGGTCATTTCATGGTTGTGGTTGTGTCATGGTCACGGTCATCTCAAAGTCATGACCATTTCCTGATCACCATCATCTCATGGCCATGGTCATCTCATTGTAATGGTCATGGTTCTGTCAAGTTCATATCATGGTCATGGTCATCATATGGTCATGGTCATCTCAAGGTCATGGTTGTGTCATGGTCATGTCATGGTCCTTTTCACCTCATGATAATCTTGTGGTCATCTTATGGTCACTATCCTCTCATGGTCTTGATCCTGTCATGGTCATGTTATGGTTATCTCACAGTCGTGGTCATCTCATAGTCATGGTCATCTCATGGTCATCTCAGAATCACCTCATGGTCACAATGGTCTCATGGCCATGGTTGTATTGTGGTCATCTCATGGTCATCTCTTGGTCACAATCATCACATGCTCATAGTTGCCTCATTATGGTCATCTCATGGTCATTGTTGTGTCAAGGCCATGGTCATCTCTTGCTCATCTCATGGTCATTATGACCCCATGACCATGGTTAAGTCATGGTCATCTCATGCTCATCTCATGATCTTGATCACCTCATGGCTATGTCATGGTCATGAAATGCTCATGGTCATCTTGTGGTCATCTTATGGCCACAGTTATGTCATGGCCACAGTCATAGTCATGCCATGGTCATGGTCATTTCCTGAGCATCATCATCTCATGTTCATTGTCGTCTCCTGATCACAGTCATCTCATGCTCATGGTCCTCTCATGGTCACGATCTCATGCTTATGACTGTGTCGTGGTCATCTGATGGTCACAGTCCTCTCATGGTCACCTCATGATCATCTCATGGTCAACTCATGGCCACAATCATTTCATGGCTATGCCAGGATCATAGCTGACTCATCTCATGGTCACAGTCATGGCCATCTCATGGTCATGAGTAGCAATGGGGAACGAAGACACATGGACTTCCTTGCTTGCTTCAAAGATCCTTTATTGTAACCAACCGAGCCTTTTTATACTCAAAACATAACCCAAAATTAACCAAACTTAACCAAACCTAACCCAAACTTAACCCAAACAAAACCAAACCTAACCCAAACTTAACCAAACCTGACCCAAACTTAACCCAAACTTAACTCAACCAAACCTGACCCAAACTTAACTAAACCTAACCCAAATTAACAAAACTTAACTAAACCAAAACAAGCACACATTGGCTGCCAGCCACTGTGGTATTGCTGTTGATGTGTCCCTTTACCCAATCAGCTCTCTGATCGTGTGGTGGCCACGCATCTCCCCAGCCAATCACTGCCTCACCCATGAGATGACCACCAGCCCACTCTTGGACCATCTGACCTGCAGTTGAACCCTTCCCAGAGTGCTTTTTGGGGAACAAAAATGAATGGAAGTGACCAGGATTTAACAAAGGTGGGAAAGGCCCTTATTCTGTAAGGGTTTTCTTATTTCCCACAGTTATGATCATCACCATCATCTTATGGTCATGGTCCTCTCATGGTCATCTTATAGTCACCTCATGGTCACAATCATCTCACAGCCATGGTTGTGTCATGATCATCTCATGGTCTTGATCACCACACAGCCATGGTGTGGTGTGGTCACCTCTTGGTCACCTCTTGGTCAAGATTGTGTCATGGTAACAGTCAAGGTCATCTCAAGGCCTTCATCATTTCATGGCCATGGTGGTGTCATGGTTATCTCATGGTCATATCATTGTCACGATCATCTTGTGGTTGTCTCATGGTCACGGTCATTTCCTGATCACCATCATTTTATGCTCATGGTCATCTCACTGTAATGGCCATCTCATGATCATGTCATTGTCACCTCATGGTCATCTCATGGCCACGATCACGTCAGGGTCACCTGAAGGCCATGGCTGTCCCATGGCCAAGCTATGGTCATCTCTTGGTCCAAATCATCTCATGGTCAGGGTTCTGGTTGTGTCATGGTCACGGTCATCTCCTGGTCATGGTCACAGCCGTGGTCATGGTCATGGTCACAGTCATGGTCATCCCATGGTCATGGTCATCTCAGGGTTGTGTCACTCATGGTCACTCTCATCTCACGGTCATCTTGTGCTCGTGTCATGGCCATGGTCATGGCCAGGGAACCTCTCTGTGATCCCAAGTACCAATTTTGGGACATTCAAGGACACTTGGGGACAGCGAGGCCTGGTCGACCCCTCCCCCTATCCCACTGCCCCTCCATGAGCCCAGTGTGGCCAAACCCTTCTGGGGACACTTTGGACATGAGACACGGCATGGGAAATGAATCCTGGGGGATGGAGCTGGGCATGAGTGGCACGTCCCTACACTGCTCCTGGTGTCCCCAAGCCAGTCTTGGTGTCCCCAACCCACTCCTGGTGTCCCCAACCCGCTCCTGATGTCCCTAACCTCTCCTGGTGTCCTTATTCCCATTTTTGGTGCCCCATCCTGGTCCTGCTGTCCCCACCCCAGTTCCTGGATTCCCCACCCCAGTTCCTGGTGTCCCCATTCCCATTCCTGCTGTTCCCATCCCTGCTCCCAGTGTCACAAACCTGTCCCCAGTGTCCCATCCCTGTCCCCAGAGTCCCCATCACTGTCGCCAGTGTCCCATCCCTGTCCCCAGTGTCCCCACTCCCACCCCAGGCTCCCAGAGAGGAACTGCTGGACACTGGAGGAGGAACCTTGCCCCAAGCAGGATAATTTCACACCAGAACTAAAGCATCAGGAATATTTGTGGGTTTTGGCTCTAAAACATTGGAAAACAGGAAATCGATCCGTTAGCAAGAGCTGTGGGGTGGGTGGCAGCAGTGGGATGAGCTCTGCTGGCAGCTCTCGGCTTTCCTGGGAAGAGGGAAAGGGCCCGATCCAGCTCCTTGGATCGCTCCGGTGGTGATTCCCGCCGGGATGAGAGAGGGTCACGGTGTCACCCTGTCCCTGTCCCCATTCCACAGGATGGGCCTGGCCGGAGCCCATGGGGAGCAGGAGCTGCTCCAGAATCCCACCTGATCCTGCCTCAATCCTGCTTCATCCATTCTGCACCAATCCTGCTCCATCCATCCCAACTGATCCCACCCCAATCCTGCTTTTCATTTCACCCAATCCCATACTGAAATCCCTCCCTGATTCCACTCCATCCATCCCGCACCAATCCCTCTCTGGAGTCCCAACTTGATCCTGCCCCAATAATCCCACCTGATCCCACTGTATCCATCCCACCCAATCCTGCTCCATCCATCCATCCATCCATCCACCCATCCATCCATCCATCATCCATCCCACCTGATCCTGCTCCAGTCATGCCCCAATCCCTCTCGCATCCTGCTCCATCCATCCCAACTAATCCCACACTGGAATCCTGCCTTGATCCAGAGTCCCACCTGATCCCACCCCATCCCTCCTGCCCCAATCCTGCTCCATTCCATCCCACCTGATTCTTGTCTGGAATCCCGCCCTGATCCCTCTCCATCCATTCCCCACCAATCCTGCTCCATCCATCCCACCTGATCCTGCTCCAGAATCCAGCACCAATCCCGCTCGACAGTTCCATCTGATCCTGCTCTGGATCCCTGCTCTGATCTGGAATCCCTCCCTGATCCCAGTCTGTCCATCCTGCCCTGATCCCCCTCTGGAATCCTACCCCAATCCCGCTCCATAAGTGTGATTCAGCTGTTGAGTTCCATGTCCTTTCCTGCAGAAAGAGAAGATCCGTGAGATTCCAGCAGGGATCACACACCGGGATTAACCCCAGGATCCACCCTGGGATGCACAAAGAGGGGATTCAGAGCTGGATCCACCACTGGAACTCACTGGCTGGCGGGTTGTATCCATTCCTGTCCCTCCTCCCTGTGGGAAAACAGCGGGATCAGTGTGGGTGCTGCCAGAATGATGCCAGGTGGATCCGTGCCCCTTCCCGACCCCCATCCCGTGTTACCGGATTGGAGCCTCCAAACACCGAATCCAATGAGGACAAGGACGAGGATGGCAGCAATGACGGACACAGCGATCACCACGGCGAGATTCCTGCCAGATGTCGGCTCTGGGAAACGCAGGATAGTGAGGAGGGGAAGCGGAATCCCCATTCCAGAATTCCAAATCCTCAATTCACACATTCCCAGCCTCACCCCAAGCGAAGATCCCGGGCTCCAGCATTCCAGGATGCTCCACCCGGCACCGGTACTGCTCCCACTCCTCCGGCAGCACCTCGATCCTGGCCCAGGTGCGGAAGGTGCCGTCGCTGTTGGGAACGATCCCGCCCCACTCCGTCTCCTGATCCCGGATTTCACCCCCCTTCATCCAGTTGACTGCGATGGTGTTGGGATAGAATCCGTACACGTGGCAGGATAGGATCAGTGTCCCATGTTCCTCTTTTCCGGACACATGGACGTCAGGGACCACTGGAATGGGATAATGGTGGAACTCATGCATGGAATTCCATGGGAATGGGATGGGGGTGAGATCTGCCCATGGAATTCCATGAGAATGGGATGGGGGTGAGATCCGCCCATGGAATTCCATAGGAATGGGATGGGGGCGAGATCTGACCATGGAATTCTGTGGGAATGGGAATGGGATGGGGGTGAGATCTGCCCATGGAATTCCATGGGAATGGGAATGGGATGGGGTGAGATCTGCCCATGGAATTCCATGAGAATGGGATGGGGGTGAGATCTGCCCATGGAATTCCATGGGAATGGGATTGGGTGAGATCTGCCCATGGAATTCCATGGGAATGGGATTGGGTGAGATCTGCCCATGGAATTCCCACTGGAATGGGATGGGGGCAATATCTGCCCATGGAATTCCCACTGGAATGGGATGGGGGCAATATCTGCCCATGGAATTCCCACAGGAATGGGATAGGGGCGAGATCTGACCATGGAATTCTGTGGGAATGGGACTGGGTGAGATCTGCCCATGGAATTCCATGGGAATGGGATGGTGGCGATATCTGCCCATGGAATTCCATGGGAATGGGATTGGGTGAGATCTGACCATGGAATTCTATGGGAATGGGATGCTGGAGATATCCTCCTATGGAATTCCCACTGGAATGGGACGGTGGCGATATCTGCCCATGGAATTCCCACAGGAATTATCACGTTCCCAAGTGCTCCATTCCCAAATTCCCACCCACCTTTGCGCTCCAGCTCTTTCCGCCCATATCTGACGTATTTCTGGAGCCATTCCGGGCAGACGTGTTCCAGGTAATTCTCCCGCCTCTCAGCCACGTTCTCATCTTCCCAGCGCCTCCGGGTGATCTCAGCAGCGTCGTCGGCTGCCACGAAGCTCTTGGATCCCAGCTCGAAGGAAATGAAATCCCGCCCGTCGTAGCCATGCCGCTCGGATCCACGGATGCTCCCGTCGGACAGGAGGTCACAGCCGTAAACTTCCTGTATGGTGTGGAGACCTGGGGGGATTGAACCCACAGAGACCCATGGAATTGTGTCCCCGCCCCACGGATCCCATCCCAGCCCCATGGATCCCAACCTGGCCCCACAGACCCCATCCCAGCCCCATGGATCCCCCACCCCTGCCCTACAGTTCCCATTCCAGCCACATAGATCCCAGCCCCATGGACCTCCATCCCAGTCCCACGGCTATCCACCCCAGTCCCACAGTTCCCATTCCAGCTGCACAGGTCCCATCCCAGCCCCATAGGATCCCCCATTCCAGCTCTACAGTTTCCATTCCAGTCCCACATATCTCATCCCAGCCCCACAGATCCCATCCCAGCCCCACAGATCCCCCCACTCACCCCCGCTCTGGTTGTACCGGTGCCGCAGCGTCTCCAGGTTCCTGGCATGCACATGCTGGTACCTCTGACAGTTCTGGGTCTGGCTCTCCCAATATCCCGGCTCAGCTCCCTCCTCCATCCACTGCGTCAGTGGCACTTTCCGTCCCCGCTCGCTGTCGTAGCGCGTGAAGGGGATCCCATCCACGAACCCCAATTCCATGTACTGGGGGATCCCCGGGCTGGGCTCTGACACCGCCACATCCAGGTAACGCAGGGAGTGGAGAACTGGGTGGACACAGAGATTTGGGGGGGCTGAAGGGGTCATGGATCAATGAAAGGGGAACTGGGAGAGCCGGGAAGGGGTTTGGGAATCAAGGGTATGCAGAGGGGTCCCGGTGTCCAGGGGCTCAGGGGGTTCCAGGGTTATGGAGGGGGGGTGCAGGGACTGGGAGAGGTGGGATGGGGGTTCCAGCAGGTCCCTGTGCCCAGGAAAGGGATTCCAGGGGTCCCCAGTGCCAAGGAAAGGGGTCATGAGGTGGGGATGGCTGGAATGGGGGCTCGGGGGTCCTTGATGCAGAGGAAAGGGGGGGTGAGAGCTGAGAAAAGCAGGAATGGGGGTCTGGGGGGTCTCAGGGTGAAGGAAAAGGGGGGGTCTGGGGACTGGGAAAGGTGGGATGGATGGGAACGGGGGTGCGGGGGGGATTGGTACAGGATAAGGGAG